CCTTCCTTACTTCCCTTTTGGGCCAGTTGTGTGTCATTTACTCCAAATTTGGAGCAGAAGAAACTATGGTTCATGCCCCTCAACTTCTACTTCCCCATCATCTATTTGAATCCCCCCCCCCCCCAAAAGATACCAAACAGGCCCTTAACTCCTTAGAAAATGAAACTATTTTCATTATAAAATAAGCTAGAAAAAGAAGCATAACAAAATGAAATCTAGATGACAATAACCACCATAGAAACGCAAAAGATATCCACATTCGGAAGTACTTACAATTCTTCTTCTGGTTCATTTTTCAGTGCATTTTTGGCTATACATTCAAAAGCAGCATCCACATTGAACCCTTCTTTTGCGGAAGTCTCAAAGTAAGGAATACCTTTGGAGGCACACCAAGCTTTGGCCTTCTTTTCAGATACCTGAAGGTACGAGTGATAAACACATAGATATGACATAATTAATAGGGACTAACAAGAAAGAAAAAGATTTCTCAGAATCCATGCAATGAAATGGATACGAGGGCTTCTGTTTTAATTTTATATTTTTTTATTTCCAAATTTTCATATAATGCTAAATCATAGAAGAGTTAGCCTTTATGCTGACCTTCCGTATTGGTACTTCTATCCTTCAATATAATAATAACATACACAGATTTTGCAATTTTAATTTGATAGTGAGGCAAAATAGGAAGTACCACTCGGCTATTGCCACCATCAACATCAATTTTATTCCCCAAGACAACAAATGGGAAGTTTTCAGGGTCAGGAGGACTGGCCTGAAAATCAAATTTATGACATTGAGAATTAGCAGATGTGGTGCAAACTGAAACTGAAATTCTGATAGACGAAAGTATAACCTGAATCAGAAACTCTTCTCGCCAGTTGTTGAGGTTATCAAATGACTTCATGACGTTCACATCATAAACAAGTACACAACAGTCTGCACCTCGATAGAAAGCCACACCAAGGCTTTGAAATCTCTCCTGACCAGCTGTATCCCATATCTAAAACAAGGGATAAATGCTGGTCAAAGAAAGTAAATTGCTAATCATTATATGTACATAACAAGGATTATATATACATTTCCAAAGTTTTTTGCCCAAATGGATTTTCCCCAGAGAACCTCAAAAATATCCTAAAGAACTTCATATCAGAAGGCAACTAAGGGAGGAGACGTCTGATACAGCCTCAAGATGACTTGTATTAGAGAATTTCCACGAAACCATAATAGATAGTATATATTTACCAATTCTCTAGCAAATGGGTGATACAACTGAAGTTTAAGAAGATTGATATATAAGGCAAATTACTTAAATCTTAGTGATTAAGAAGGAAATGATTATGGACAAAATCAGGGCACCTTCAAACTCATGCTGACATATAGTTTCTACGAAGTAATCATCACAAAATAAAAAATAAATGTTGTTTTCCCTGATGAAATGCTAATCACAGAATTCAAAAACCATGCCAATTCAAATTCCATCACCTGCTCCGTAGAGACTACTAGCACAAAATCAATCAGAAGATATTATTGCACTGTGAGTTAGAGTTTCATTTAATCCTACCAAGAAAAGAAAAGGATTGCATTCCAGTGGTTAAATTGCACATCTCAAGTTCTTATGTGATAGGCAAACAAAAAATTGTAAATTTTCTGTTCCTTTTTGCAAGGACATACTGGAAATCGGGTTTGTTTTTTTATCAATGTCAGTCAACAAAACAAATCACGCCCAAAGGAGATGACCAACCAACGATTAAAAATAAAAAAATTTAAAGAATTATTAAGATAATTACAATAACAAAAGCTATTAGCATTAAAACCAAACCTGCAACGTGAAAAGCCTGTCCTCAAATAGAACCTCTTTGGTCAGAAAATCAGCACCAATCGTTGCTTTATATTGATTGCTGAATTTCCTATTCACATATCTATTTTATCCACGTTCAAGGCCAAATAACAATTTCTATCAATCAATATCACGCCATTATCGTTCTACGTAAAAAGAAAATAATAATTAATTCATATTATATAGACATCTGCATTAGGATACTGATTCATCAGAGAAGTCTTCCCAACCCTGGCAATGAATTAATCATCATAAAAAATATTTCAATTATTCCGCGAGCGCGAATGCGAATATATATGTACAGAGGAGAGGGAGGGAGGGAGAGACCCGCTGTCGCCGAGAATGATGACTTTGAGAAGCATACGGCGACGAGATGCCATCGGAATTCGAAATTTCAAAAGCTTTGAAATGAAAATTGAAAAGTTGGGGCTTTTTAGAGGGGAGAAGCGAAGATTCAAAATTGAATCGAGTGTTTCTCAATAGAATATGCAAAGCAATGATGCCCTTTTATTTTATTTTATTTTTCCTTTTCATTTGGAGTCAAGTCCACCAATAACCATTCAACTAGTGTCATCATATCCATTCAATTTTATTTTATTTTATTATGACCATTCAACTTTATGCTTAGTGTCATCGTAGTCATCTAATATGATTTTATTTCACCATAATCACCCTATTTCATATAAAGTTTCATCATACTATCCAATTCATATAATGAAAGTGTTTGAAAGGTATTTTTATGTAAAAAGGCATTTTACAATAGTGACTTAATGGGAAGTGTGTGATTGATATTTCGGCCCCATTTGGTACCCATTTTTTCAAAATTCATTTTTCTCTCTCTTTTTTCAACCATACATTTTTCATTAAAATAATATTACACATAAATAAAAAAAATTTCCTTATTTTTTAACCACACATTTTCCATCAATTTACTATTCCAAAATGTATTTTTACATAAAAATTGCTCTCAAACACTTTCTTCACTGTGACTACCCAACTTATTTTCACTATTTTCACTAATTTTAAAAAGGATAAAACAGTAACTTTACTTATATATAAAATAAAATAAAAATTATTTTTAAAAATAAAATAAAAACTTATTTTTAAAAAGTTACTTAAAAGTAAAATAATAACAAATCTTTTTTAAAAAAAGTTACTTAGAAAAACAAAATAAAATAAAAAAATATTTTAAAAACATTCCTTAAAGAAATGAAATAAAAAATTTATTTGAAAATAAACGTTTTAAAAATAAAATAAGACTTATATTCAAAAAGTTACTTAGAAAAATAAAATAAAATAAAATAATGTTGTAAATGGTAAGTTTATTAGGATTTGTTATTGAATGACAATTTTACCCCTACAATTCTAAAAATTAATATCATTGTATCTATGATTCTTATTTATAAATATATGGCTTTTGATTTTAATAAAACCCATAAAAAAATTTATTGACTTTCATTACCTCTTCTCTTTTTCTCTCTTTTCATAAAACGTTATCTGCATGAAAGCTTAATTCTTCAAAGTTTAGATAATGTAGTAGTTTTTTCAAGCATAATCATTTACCACATATACCGAAATTATTTTGATGATATGTGAATTTTTTTGTACATTCATAGGCATCTAGTGGTGACAATGGGTCGGGTCGAGCCGAGCCGGCTTGGCTCTTAACCTCACGAGCTCGGCTTGCGCTCGTGCCTCGTCTTCAATGAGCCGAGCCAATTTGGGCGAGCTCGACTCGGCCCACGAGAGCTTTGGCTCGTGTGCTCGTCTTTTTTTTTTTATAAGAGAAAAACACAAATAAATGAAATAATGTAATGAAAACACTTTTAAAAAAAATAAAAAGTGTTAAAAAATACAAATAATTTAATGAAGACACTTTTTTTTTTATATCATATTGTAATATTTTTTATAAAGTATAAAATATTTATATAATGAAGATGAATTAATTTTTGAAATACATTTATAAAAAATATTTTATTTATTTATTTCTAAAGTAGATAAAATGTAAACAATTCTCCTTTATTCGGGTTTGGGACCGACTACATCAATTTTAAGTATGTGGAGTTAAAAATTGTATACGAACAACTTGTTGTAACGTGTACAATTTTTAAAGAAAATTAAATTTAACAATTAAAAAATAAAGAAATTTTGATTAATATAATTAAATCAAATATCACTTACCTGACGACATGCAATTTCACCGTATCTATCCTGTAATCGAAAATGAGCGTTCTACCAATCCTTCATGCACATTAACGCTTCCAAAACATCTTCTTTCAGTCGGCTCCTGATATCGGTCAAAACTCTTTCACCTACACTAAAAGCAGACTCCAAAGTAATAGTGCTAACCGAAGGTGTCAGCAGATCTTTTGCAATTGTAGAAATAATTAGCCAACGCCTTTCATACTTTCGCCAAAATTCAATTAATTCTTCTAAGTTTTTTTTAATTGTTCCATCCGTTGGTATATTATGATTGAAGTAATCAATTAATTCGACAGGCATTGAGTTTCGCCCGATGTTTGATGAGATGCAAATGTAGACGACATGGTACTAGATTAACACATTGCAGTTGCATCATATCTAAATGTATTAATGACTTGAAATAAATTCATTATTTCGGCATCATCTTCTTCAATTTCAACCGAAGGAGTAGGTGCAGAGGGTACCCCACTAACATTTGCACCCATTCTTTCCGCATATAAATCATACATTTCATATAATGTTTGCTCTAAATTCTTATAGGTGATAGGTGTATCAAAATTTAAAACTTTATTGATTTGATCAATTACGTATTTAGTTCCCAAAATATTATATCGGGGGTCCAATACGCATGCTAAAGGAAATAATATAGGCAGTTCTTCCCAATATTTTCTAAACTTTAATTCCATAATAATTATAATTTCACTAAAAGTATGATCATTTTTATATTTATGGAATGTTCTTACAATTATATAAAGGCGTTTAAGCACTATACAGTTTGTGGGATAATAAACGCCGGATAAAATCTTTGTGGTCTCATAAAAAGATATCAAAAATCGTTTAACTTTCAAAACTAAAATACAATCGGATTCATTTAACATACCATCGTCATCACTTCTAACGTATCTATTGTTATAAATGTCAGTTATTAAATTTTCGAAACATTCGCATGACTTTAATAGCAAGTAGAGTTTCATCTATGGCCTACGGTGCTAACAAATGTTTTAGCAGTCGTCACCCCTAATTCGGCACAAATCTTCAAATGCTTGTTTTCTACTATGAGAGATTGTAATATATACTATTGCATTCCTAATATTTTGAAATTCATCCTTTATATGTTTTAAGCTATCTTGCACAATAAAATTTAAGACATGACATACGCAATGAATATGAAACAATAACCCACCAAAATCAGGTTGAAGTGTCCTACACAATTTATCGACAACTACCTTATTAACACTAGCATTATCAAAAGTAAAAGATCGAATTTTAGTCCCGCAATTATATTCTCTAACAATATTGATAATAACATTATATATATTATTAGCATTGTGAGAAAACTCAATAATTCTAAAAGCAATAATTTTCTTATGGATGCACCAAAGTGGGTTTATATAGTGTGCGGTTGCAGCTATATATGCTCTTTTATTAACCCCTTCTCATATATCAGAAGTTAAAGATATAACACATCAATATTATTACAAATCCATAATTAATTGTTGTTTTGAATTATTGAAATATTGTATTGTATCGGTACGAATAGTGTTTCGACTTACCCCAACGTACCTCGGTTGCATATATTCTTTCACGAACGACACGAAGTGTTGGTTGTCTGCAATAGTTAAAGACAACTCAGTGGCGGCAACAAATTTCACTATTCCGGTTCGAGTATTGTCCTCCGAATACACCCACGTGGATAGGAGTGAAGTCGTAGAACCGGCGCCTGGACTACCAAATTGCAATTGTGTTTGACCAGTTAGAAGAAGTCAATGTCTGGCCACACATGCTTTGTAGTGGCGGTTGAGATGGATGATACCAATTTCTTTTTGCCATGTCAATCTTTGTTGGCAATATTTACATACTACTTTAGATTCTGTAAGGCCATCGGCGACTTTTCCCGTTGAAATCAACTTAAAGTGATCCCAATATTTTGCTTATTTTTTGCCATTTCGCTTTCCCCTTGCATCTGGGATGTTTAATTCAGTATCTTCATCATCATATTCCGCTTCGGGAACGTTAATATCATCCAAATCAATTGGATTGTGGCTTCCCTAACTGTGAATGTGAACATCTTTAGGTATGTGTATGTCATTTAGACCGGCAAATTCATGTGAAAATCGATTTTGCGGCGTCCTAGGCGATTCGCCATGATGTGGCCCACATCTCGTATCGAATAAGCTCCCAACAAATTAGCGTTGGTCCATTTGTTTGATTGTTTATGATGAAATTCAAATATAATAACTAGAAAAATATAAATGTAGTGAGATTGTGAGAATTGAGAATTGGATAGATTGAAATTGTAACTAATAAACTGTAAAAACTGAATTGATATTGTATATTTTGCAGTACAAGAGAGTAAAAACTCGATAATTAATATAATAAAAGAGAGTTGGAGTAGTGATAGAGTAATTGATATGAAAAATACAAATGGGGGTTAAGGGGTATTTATAGCAGAAGGGAAAAAAAATAAAATAAAAATTTCAGTGACCGTTTTGGTCATTTTCTTTGCGAGCCACGAGCCGCTCGTGGGCGAGCCGAGCAGGCTCCCGACGAGGTCCGCTCAGCTTGCGCTCGAGCTCGTGATTTTACAAGTTCGAGCCACCCACAAGCCCTATTTTGGGGGCTCGGCCCTTTTGACATCCCTATAGGGATCATAACGAATTTGCTAAAAGTAGAATTTTTTTTGTGAAATTGATTTCTTTACACTGTAATTATTGCTGCAGCTAATTGCTTCTCTCATTTTCATTAACAACTAATGATTTTTTTCACTATTACAATTTGTTTATTTTTTTATTAAAAGAATTATATTTGTTTACTTCTTTTACAACAATTATTCAAATGGTTAAATAATAAATTTTTGTATAAGGCTATTGTCCTATACATATATTCATACTTTAATTCATGATTGCACACATACTATTCACGTTATTCTGTGCAAATATTATTCTATAATTCATGCTTTAATTTACTTACTCTATGCTTTAGTTTATTTGGTAAGATAGACATTTGTGATTATTATTAAATGCTCCATATCTTTAACGTGATTAAATATTTTTAGATATTCTTATATAAATTTTAAAATAGTAATTTATCATGTCATTGTTCCTAAAATAACACAACTTTATAATTAATATTTCAAAAGAATATTAACTGTAGATTTGTCTATTGTAAATAAGTTATTATTGCTTCCGAAGTAGTACAACATTATAATTAATATTCTTAAAAAATATTACGTACGTGTTCTTGAAGAGCATGAATTATATTT